TCAATTTCATCCTCCATGTTAACACATTGAAGCAATATGGTTCTTAGTCCTAACTATCATCTAAATTACTGATGGAAAACCAACACATGTTAGGCACATGACAACTATTAAGGTAATTCCGTCATTATCTAAACATCTTTATTCCAAGTTTAGAAATCATTATGCATCTAGCCAAACACGTCATCAATTTTTGTTGTTTCTTTTCTCTCTTTCTTACACAACAAATATTTAAAACAGAGCACACGGCAAATACACAACACCCAATTCTTTTAGCAAATAAACAACACCCAATTCTTTCTCTTTCTAAACAATACATAAAATCCAACTGCTCTCTCTCTCTTTCTCTCTCTCTAAACAACACACACTGTTTCTATCAACAGGAAAAAAAAAAATAGAGTCACTACATAAAATCAAACAACTTTGCGTCATCACCTCTTCTACCAATGCAACGAAAATCAGCAATTCAAAACCCACAATTCAACCTAATCACCATTCAATAGAAAAAAATCTCAAACAAATCAAAATTAAATTTACAAATTCAAACCTGAATTGAAATCAAAATCAGACTAAAAATAAAAATAAAAAATAGATGTAAAATCTCAATTCAGCACATAGTCAACACATGATTTAACCCAATTAATTCAGTCAATTCAAAATCCAAATAAACCACAAAAAGGTAACCCACAATGTCTCTTCCATTGCCACAAATTTACACCCACCACCTCTCTACACTGCCACCATGATGCCACTTCAGTCAATCAGCCATAGAATTTCACTTCAACCCATTACAAACCCATAATTCAATCCAATGAAAAACTAAACTATATATGACAATTAAAAAATAAAACAAAGAGAAATCGATGGAGGAGAGAATTAGAGAGAGCATTTCGTGGAGGCAGGTGGAGTGGTGGTGTATTCGCGAGAGTAAGAAGCAGAGCAATGGAGAGGGAGAAAGAGAGAGAGAGAGATAGAGATGGGTATAGGAGATGTTGGGAGTTTGCTTGGCGAAAAAATAGTGAGACTAGTTGATTGGTGTTTGGTGGGTTTGGAGGAGTGATTCCGAGTTGCAACAGAGGGTGACGGTGGAGGAGGCACAAGAAGGTTTGTGTTGGTGGACTTAAGAGAGAGAGAGAGAGAGAGAGACGGAGAGAGAAAGAGAAATAGATTGTCCATACCTTGAGAGTGGAATGATTGGGAGAGTTTGGAGGAGAATCTTCTAGATCTTCGGCATGGTCACCTTGAAGAGGCAAACTCGACGAGAGAGAAAGAGATGGTCTTGTTAGAAGCATGGAGGCGGTGTGGTGTGGGTGGGTGCCATGGCTGTTCGCCAGTTGTGACAGAGAAAGGGTGGGGAGAGAAGATTTAGCAGATTAAGAGAGCATGTCTTCTATTTCTTCATTTTTTAACATGTCAAAATGACCAAATTATTCTTAAAAGCATGCACGTGATCATTTTTTGTCACTAATATTAACGACCGTTAGGGAAAATGACTACAATAGGTCTACATGTGAACATTGAGTACTAAATTGAAGAAATTAAAATTTTAAGGACCAAAGTGTAACAACTGACAAACTTCAGGGACTATTAGTGTAATTTACCTTTGAAAAAATTCATTTGTTGAATACTTTGTTGAGAAGAAACTCCCTTATTCTGTGGTGAATGGTATTTCTCACAAGCTTTGGGATAAACAAGGATTAATAGAGTTCTTGGCTAATGGCAAAGGATTCTTCTTCTTTAGATTCTCTTCTACGCTTGAATGCAACAAAGTTCTTAAAATGACTCCATGGATCCTTATGAGTAGACCTTTAATTCTCCATAAATGCTAGTCTAGTATGGAGCTCACATAGGTTTCACAAACCAAAATTCCACTTTGTGTTTTCACTTATACAATCTCCAATTGGAGTTCTGGACAGAAGAAGGTTCAATTGGGGCAATTACTTGTCAAGTATTTGGATATCCCACTCATTGCAACTAAATTGAGAACAAGGTATTGTGCAACTCTTGTGGATTAAACTGTGGCTAGAATAAAAACCTGGACTAACAGATTTCTCTCTTATGCAAGTAGACTGCAACATGTAAGATCTGTTTTAAGTAACATGCAAAGTTACTAGTTATGCCATCTTATTCCCTCCAAGAGTGTCTTGAAAAGAATTGAGCAGCTTCTAAGATCCTTTCTTTGGAATGGAAATGAGCAAAAGATAGGAACTTCTAAGGTTGCATGGGAGATTGTAATCAAGTCTAAAAAAGAAGGTGGCCTTCGATTAAAAGATCTTCATAGTTGGAACAAGGCTTTAATGTTGAGGTATATCTGGTTAATAATGACAGATAGGGCAAATCTTTATGTTAACAAGATCAGAGTAAACTATTTGAGAATGAAATCATTTTATGATGTTAGACCACCCCAAGTTTGTTGTTGGAATTGGAGGAAGCTTCTGAAGCTTAGGCAAGTTGCTAGGCCATTAATCCTCCACATTATTGGGGATGGTAAAACAACACACTTGTGGCATGATAATTGGCACCTTAGTGGTCCACTTTTTTCTCAAATGGCCTGAAAATATCATTGAACTTTCAAATCTACCATCCTCTGTCAAGGTAGAAACCATTGTCAATGGCCCTAGTTGGGGCAAGGCCTTCATCCTTCTATGCCATCCGACCTCTCCCATCCTCAACTGGAAGACAAAGTTAAATGGCTTCTTAATCCACAAGGTCATTACACATCTCACTCAGCTTGGAAGTTATTTTACACCTCGGGCAATAAGGTCCCTTGGCATAGATTAGTTTGGTTTCCTCATTCCATCCCTAGAATGTCATTTGTGCTATGGATGGATATGCATGGGAAGCTTAGTACAAAGGATCAAGTCAAGAATTTGTTGGAGATATTGCAGGTTAGTTTATTAGGGTTTATTATAGTTTTCTTTTTTTACCTTTTTACCCTTACTGTAATTGTCATTAGCTATATATACAGAGGCTCTACACTTAGTTTGTATCCCTTTTCTCTCTTCTAAATATTTCAAGTTGGTATCAGAGCCAGACCTAACCCTACCCCAAACCCTAACCTTCTTCCTAACCTAGCCTCCACTGAGATTATCTCACCGGCAAACTGTCTTCAAGCAAAATCAGCTACTACCGAAACCACCCTGGCTATCAGCTGCCCAACGAAATCGACCAAACCAGCGACAAAACCACAACCCAGATCACCTACTACCCATGCCATCTACATCGACTGCCCAGGCCACACCAATCTAGGTCAATCCTTTACAACAACTTCAAGAAGCCACCAACTGCCCACACTTATACCCTAGCAGCATCGAAACATCATCTCGGTAGCAGAAACTACCCACTAATATCACTACTACCAGTCCAACCACTACACCGACAAACCAACAAACCACCTTATATACCTCATCGACAAATCACCTTTGGCCCTCACAGCCACATAGCCAAACCAATCCAAGCAAGCAAACCTCAATATATATACCTCTACCCAGGAAACATTAAACCCATACCGACACCTGGACAGTGCACACCAACATATACTCGTCCCTCAATCTGACCAAGCACTGACATATACACCAACCAAACCCAACCCGTTAACCTTGTAGCTAGACCAGCAGACCCACAAGCCCAAAACTGATAGCCTAAGTGCTAGCCTACTACTGGGTCACTGCCTAGCCCATTGTCAGATCGCATTTTTCGTTGTAATTTCATCATTCGCACTCTTTGTCACAATGCTACAAGGCTACAGTATTTAGGACTTTTTTAGGAGGGAGCGGATCCTCTCTCTGTTGATCTTCTCTTGATGCAATAGATCAATTATTTATATTTATTGAATTTTTGGGTATCGTGATCTGATTATTTGGGAGCTTTCTGGACCTTCTTTATTTGTCGCTATTGTTCGACTGAAAGTATATTATTCTCCTTTATTTTGTCTCTCTATTTATCTTAGAGCTTTTTTCTGTCACGGGTGTCCACGTATTGTTATTGTTATGGCTACTACTGAGGGATTTGAGACCTCTGCTGTTAGTACTTCCACTTGGAATGTACCTCCTGGTTCTCATCGGTGTTATTATTGTGGAGAACCAGGCCATCTCCGAGCTACTTGCTGGAATNTGGAATGTACCTCCTGGTTCTCATCGGTGTTATTATTGTGGAGAACCAGGCCATCTCTGGGCTACTTGCTGGAAGCTTTATCCGGAGCTTAAATCGCCTCCTCACAGCCGTACTGCTGTTGTTGTTGAGGTACCACCACCTACTTTCGTTGTTCCTGCTGCTGCTCCTCCTTAGCAGAGTGATATGGATACTATCATTTTCCAATTGGATATACTTATATTCATCTTGACTTCTCATGGTATGACTACTATTACTGCTACTATTACAGGTATACCTCGTGTGTTTCATGCTTGCTCGAGTCTGTCTCCCATTTGGATGTTAGACTCGAGTGCAAATAGTCATATGACAGGTGAGGCTTATCACTTCACCACTTTTGATGAGCAATTATATACACAGGTTCAGCTAGTAGATAGGACACATACCCCTATTGTTAGTAGGGGTACAGTCTACCTCCCAGATGGCTTTACATTACATTCAATTTTTTCATGCGCCAAAAATGATCATGAATCTATTATCCATACACCAGTTAGCTAGAGATTTTTATTGTATGGTTGTGTTTTTATCTGATTTGTGTTATTTGTAAGAGTTGAGTACTAAGAGGATTATTATCATGGGACATGAGATAGATGAATTGTATTATCTAGGCAATCTACCTCTAATTTCACTAGTTCTTTCACCTCTATCACCTGCACTTACTTTGTCTTTATCTGTTTCTAGCTTGCATGCTAGTATCTTGCCTAATACTTTTTGTTATGATTTTTCATCATAAACTATTCAGTTGTGGCATGATCGTTTTAGAAATACAAATTTTAAATATTTATTTTTGTTGTTTCTTGTTTTGAGCAATGTTTGTGTTGGTGGTAAACTTGACTGGGTTATATGTTCCCTATCGAAACATGTTTGGACCAGTTATATTTCTCGCATGCACCAGCCACCTAAGTCATTTGACCTAATACACTCTGATATTTGGGGACCTTCTCCTGTTACTGTTTTGTCTATTGCTCGATACTATATGACATTTATAGATGATCATACCCATTGTACTTGGGTCTACCTTTTGCATAGGAAGTCTGATGTACTCTTTGTCATAACACAGTTTCTTTAGATAATTAACACACAATTTATTGTCATTGTTTGTGCTCTTCGTTCGAATAATGCCAAAGAATATGTGTTCGATGCTTTAATGTCTTACCTTTCCTCTCAGGGTATCCTTCAGCAGCTCACTTGTGCATATACTCCTTAGCAAAATAGAGTTGCTAAAAAAGAGAAAATAGGAGTCTAATAGGGATGGTACGTTGTATGCTTAGAGGTATGGGGGTACCAAAATTTTATTGACATTTTATTGTTTTGACTTTTACTTTTCTGTGTAATCATATACCAAGTCGTGTTCTTCAGCATAAGGCTCCTTTACAGANGGGATGGTACGTTGTATGCTTAGAGGTATGGGGGTACCAAAATTTTATTGACATTTTGTTGTTTTGACTTCTACTTTTCTGTGTAATCATATACCAAGTCGTGTTCTTCAGCATAAGGCTCCTTTACAGATCTTATTTCTTGAGCAGACACTTTTTTCGGTCCCTCCTCCTGTTTTTGGCAGTACATGTTTTGTTCAAGATCGGTCTCCTACTCACCATAAACTTGATGATAAAGCGATTCATGTGTCTTTGTAGGCTATTGTCATCAGTCTAGGGGTATCAGTGTTATGATCCTATTAGGCGTCGTATGTATAACAGTCTAGATGTTATCTTTCTTGAACACATTCCTTATTTTTCTTTCAGTCATGTGTTTGCCTCTCTAGTTGATGATACTCCCTTTGATTTTTCGTTACCTCAGGAGCCAGAGTCATTGGTCACTATCAGTACAGAGTCATCAGTCTCTCCTTCTCTAGAGCCACTCGTCCCTGTCAGTACAGAGTCACCAGTCTCTCTTCTTTGACAAGTTTATGTTCGTGGCCCTCGTTCTCATCCCCCTATTGATGTCCCTTCTACCTCAGACAATACAGGTAATACTTCTCAGTTCGTTGAGCATATTGATGCACATGTTATTAGTACTAATGAGATTGTAGGTACTGGGCCGATTACTTTTCCTAATGTGACATTGTCAGTAGATGATGATAATTTAGGGCGTCGTTATCCACAGCATGATCGTCATCCAGTTGTTCGTTATGGTTGGACTGCCAGGACTTTATATCCAANTACTTTTCCTAATGTGACATTGTCAGTAGAGGATGATAATTTAGGGCGTCGTTATCCACAGCATGATCGTCATCCAGTTGTTCGTTATGGTTGGACTGCCAGGACTTTATATCCAATCTTTGTTTATGTGACTTATGGTGATTTGTCTCCTACATTTCGAGCTTATAGTATGGTCTTATCAAATACGCCAATTCCTCGCTATGTTTCAGAGGCTATGAGAGAGCCTAGTGGGTTCTTGCCATGTAGACGGAGATAGACGTTTTTTAGCATAATCATACATGAGATCTTGTCTCTTTACTTTCAAGGGGGAAGCCTATTGGCTGTCGCTAGGTTTATACCCTGAAGTTTCTTGCAGATGGTACTATTGATCGTCACAAGGATAGGCTTGCGGCGAAGGGCTTTACTTAAGTACCAGATCGTGATTTTAGTGGTACCTTTGCCCCCGTGACAAAATTGACTGTTGTTCGATTGATTATTTCTCTAACTGCGAAGTACTCTTGGTCTCTTCATAAGTTGGATGTGAATAATGTATTTATTCACGGTGATCTGGACGAGATTATTTATATGGATGTACCACCAGGCTTTCGTAGCGAGGGGGTATGCTAGAAAGGTATGTCGACTGCTTAAGTCACTTTATGGACTGAAATGGTTACCACGAGCCTGATTCTCTCGCTTTAGTGATGTAGTTGTTCGTTTAGGGTTCACCAGATGTCATTCTAATCATACCTGTTTCATTCGACAGAATACTTCTAGACAGTGTGTCATCCTTTTAGTATATGTTAATAATATTATTATTATTGGAGATGATGTACCACCAGGCTTTCGTGGTGAGGGGGTATGCTAGAAAGGTATGTCGACTGCGTAAGTCACTTTATGGACTGAAATGGTCACCACGAGCCTGATTCTCTCGCTTTAGTGATGTAGTTGTTCGTTTAGGGTTCACCAGATGTTATTCTAATCATACCTGTTTCATTCGACAGAATACTTCTAGACAGTGTGTCATCCTTTTAGTATATGTTAATGATATTATTATTATTGGAGATGATGTACCACCAGGCTTTCGTGGTGAGGGGGTATGCTAGAAAGGTATGTCGACTGCTTAAGTCACTTTATGGACTGAAATGGTTACCACGAGCCTGATTCTCTCGCTTTAGTGATGTAGTTGTTTGTTTAGGGTTCACCAGATGTCATTCTAATCATACCTGTTTCATTCGACAGAATACTTCTAGACAGTGTGTCATCCTTTTAGTATATGTTAATAATATTATTATTATTGGAGATGATGTACCACCAGGCTTTCGTGGTGAGGGGGTATGCTAGAAAGGTATGTCGACTGCGTAAGTCACTTTATGGACTGAAATGGTCACCACGAGCCTGATTCTCTCGCTTTAGTGATGTAGTTGTTCGTTTAGGGTTCACCAGATGTTATTCTAATCATACCTGCTTCATTCGACAGAATACTTTTAGACAATGTGTCATCCTTTTAGTATACGTTAATGATATTATTATTACTGGAGGTGATGTTTCTGGGACTACGCAGGTCAAGGTAGACCTTAGGAATGCCTTTGATGCGAAGGACCTTAGATTTTTGCGATATTTTCTTGGGATTGAGGTTGCCCGTAGCAGTTAGGGTATTGTTTTTTCTCAGAGAAAGTATGTTCTGGATCTTCTCTCAGACACTGGGATGTTGGGGTGCAAACCGGTATCATCATCCATGATTCCAAGCCTGAAGCTTACTGTTGAAGGTGAAGAGTTGAGAGATTTGACTATCTATCAGAGGTTGGTAGGTAGACTTATCTACCTATCTAACACTAGGTCAAACATTTTATTCGCTGTCAGCCGAGTTAGTCAGTTCACACACAAACTATGTCAACCTCATCTTGATGCAGTTTATCATATTCTTTGATACCTCAAGTCTTGTCTTGGACTTGAGTTGTTCTATGCATCAGGATCTCAGACTGGTTCTCTAGCCTGTTATTCAAATACAGATTATAGGGGAACACGTGACGGTGGATCAACTATGGACTTATGTGCTTTTTGAGAGACTCATCTTATCTCTTGGAAGAGTAAGAAGTAGTCAGTTTTCTCCCGCTCATCAGCAGAGGCAGAGTATCAGACACTGGCACTTGGCGCATGTGAGATTATCTGGCTATGATCAATTCTTGGTGAGTCGGGATTTCTAGTGACTTTTTCATCAACACTATATTGCGATAATCGATCTGTTATTCAGCTCGTTTCTGACTCTGTATTACATGAGAGGACGAAACATATGGAGATCGATGTTCACTTTCTTCGGGAGAAGGTTAGCAGTGGTATTGTCACTCCATCGTTTGTNACTCTGTATTACATGAGAGGACGAAACATATGGAGATCGATGTTCACTTTCTTCGGGAGAAGGTTAGCAGTGGTATTGTCACTCCATCGTTTGTGGGTATCAGTGATTAGGTCGCAGATATTTTCACCAAATCTGTTACTTTATCCATTCGTCGAGACTCCGTTGTCAAGCTTAGTTTAGTTAATATTTTTACACCTAACTTGAAGGGGAGTGTTGGAGATATTGCAGCTTAGTTTATTAGGGTTTATTATAGTTTTTCTTTTTTACCTTTTTACCCTTATTATAATTTTCATTGGTTATATATACAGGGACTCTACATTTAGTTTGTATCCCCTTTCTATCTTCTAAATATTTCAAGTGAATTATATGTAGGAAATTAACACTTTTTTTTTTGTAGACTTACATAAGAGCACATTAACTATCTGTTTTTTTATTGCCCTTTCACTGGTAGGGTATCGTGCAGAGTGCTTAGTCATTATATGGCTACCTGGTTCCACCCTAAATGGCTATCAGCTATTCATGCAGCTTCTAACCAGTGGAAAGGAAAATCTATTAGAACCATTGTGCTCAAGCTAAGCCTTTCTATCTCTGTTTATACCCTTTAGAGAGAAAGAAATGCTATAGTCTTCAGAAATGAATATAGGGATGAAGCCACAGGTCCTATTCATTTTGTATGCTGAGATGTAGCCATATTCTTGGCTAATCATTTTCACTCTCACGCTTCTTTTTCTCAATGAAGTGATGGAATGTTCCGTATGTGAAATATATTATTTTTCCATGAATTTTGAATTTATGATTTAATTGTGATTTTAAAAAATATTTTTTTGGTATAGTAATGGTATTTATTTTTTCGTCCATTGAAATCATGCCAAGTTTACAATTTAATATTTTTATTTTATTCACTATTTGTTAGTCTCTTCTATCTATCTATCTATTTATTAACAATTTAGAGATGAGAAGTCTTCCCTCCTTATTTTTTAAATTTATAAAAAATTTTATATTTTATGATATTAAATTAAAGTTTCTTCCAATCAATTATTGCAAACAACAATTTTAACCCTGAAATAAATAAAAAAATTTCCGGCAAAATAGATGGAATTGTTGACTTCTAAATTGCCTGAATTATTTATTTGAGAATAACACTCCGGTATTGAAAAATAATCTTTTGTTATTATTACCATTTTTTTGTAAATTTAATCTGAATTTATTTGTAGTAGTTGACTGAAAAAATAATTAAGTAAAATAAAATAAAATAATTAATCAAAAAATGAAATACTATATCAAAAATTATTTTTTTAATATTGTAATTAAATCTTAAATTCATAATTAATGGAAAAATAGTATGTTTGACAAACGGAATGCTCGTCACTTTATTGGAGCAAGAGACGTGTGTGAAATGGTTAATTGAAGAGATGACTAAATCTTAGCCCCACAAAAGTTAATGGGACATGTGTCTTAAGCAATGGAAGATCTTCCATTTCTAAGAGAAATGGAGAGGAGCTGGAATCCATATGCATGCATGAAATATGAAATTACCCATAAAAAGCATATATTGATAAGTTAAGACTATCCAACAAGGATAACAACAACAACCCAGCTTGAAGATCCATGCAATTTGATATTCGAGTACCACGTTAAGATAGGTCTAACTTATGACGCTCTAGTTGGTTAAACTAGTAGTTGAAATCTGAAAGAGGTGATAAATTTGAAGGATGACAAGTAGCACAGGAAGAAATACCATAAACTGTGCATTGTGCATGAAAGAGGTGATAAATATAAAACTCATCATGTCGCAGAAGATAGAAAACCAGAAGCATGAAATACTGAGTGAAAGAATTGTTAAGCCTTTTGTGATATACTTCATACCTGTAAAGGAAGACATTTTATTAAATAACTATAGTATTATTATGTCTTTTTTCTTGGGCAAACTTTCAAAATACCTAAATTAGGAAGTGTCAAATCATACATGAAGTATGGAAAATTAGGAAGTGTAATATGGACAACTCACCCAATTGCTAATAAATATCAATGTAAAATATATATATTTTTTGATATACAAATCTTACAAATGAGATATAACTTATATGGGTATTGTAATTGGATTTAATGTCATGAAACATGTTTTTTTCGGAAAGTATCATGAAACATGTTGACACCAACTGGATCATTTGTTTATTCAAACAATTATTTGGTGGTTGTTTATATATAGATTTAGTCTCCCAAATTACAGTCATCAATTATTGTGTAGACTAGACTTGAGCTACTATAGGCAAAAGAGAAGGAATGGCTCTTCAAACTCTCTTCTCGCCTTCCATTCTCTCTGCAACACCCTTCTCATGCATTGATTCATCAAAAAATCGTACTACCTGTTGTGCATTTAAACCCATTCGATGTGTTGCCAATACCAGAATTGTCGATGATCACACGGTGCCTCGACGATCAGCCAATTACATACCAAGTGTCTGGGACTATGATTTCGTGCAATCACTTACCAACGATTTTGCTGTAACGTGAAAAATACACCTATTGTTATCTATTTCAACCTAATTTGCAAATATTTGGTTTAACTGATGTTTATTATTTATTTGCATCTTTTATTAATGTGTAGGACGAGAAATATATAGTGCAAGCTGATAAGCTAAAAGATGACGTGAAGTGTCTCATTAATGGAGTGATGAACCAAATGGCCAAGCTTGAGTTGANAGTGTTATTTATTTCAACCTAATTTGCAAATATTTGGTTTAACTGATGTTTATTATTTATTTGCATCTTTTATTAATGTGTAGAACGAGAAATATATAGTGCAAGCTGATAAGCTAAAAGATGACGTGAAGTGTCTCATTAATGGAGTGATGAACCAAATGGCCAAGCTTGAGTTGATCGATGTTATTCAAAGGCTAGGATTGAAGTATCTGTTTGAGACAGAGATAAAAAATGGCCTAGATATTGTTTACAAAGATAGTAATAATGCAGGATCAAGTGATGAGCTCTATGCAGTAGCCCTCAAGTTTAGGCTCTTTAGACAACATGGGTATAATATATCCCAAGGTATATGCTATTTCATAGTTCATTACACTGTNAGTGCAGGATCAAGTGATGAGCTCTATGCAGTAGCCCTCCAGTTTAGGCTCTTTAGGCAACATGGGTATAATATATCCCAAGGTATATGCTATTTCATAGTTCATTACACTGTGTTACAATGAAACAGTAACAAAAGGAACTCTATTTTCCCCAATCAGACAAATTGGATTTGCAGAAACAAACTGGTTTCAATTGCTATTTCTTGCAACACAAACAACATTGTTCCATATGTCTGTGTCATTCTTAAGCATATAGAAACACTATTTGTTATGCGTATTAAGAATTAATGCTTTTTGTAATTTTATATGAGACAGATGTGTTTGAAAGGTTCATAGATGAGACAAATAATTTTAAGCCAAGCCTCTGTGAGAATGTGGAGGGGCTGTTGAGTTTGTATGAAGCTTCTTTCTTGGGTTTGGAAGGTGAAAACATCATTGATCTGGCCAAAGCTTTCACAACCAGGCATTTGAAAGACATCATAGGAGACATATCACCAAGCTTAGCCAGAAAAGTGGGCCATGCTCTGGATATGCCCGTGCATTGGAGATTGACAAGATTGGAGGCTAGATGGTTCATTGATGCATATGAGCAAGAACAAAACATGAACCCTTCTTTACTACAACTAGCTAAGTTGGACTACAACATGGTGCAATCAGTTCATCAACAAGAGGTCAGGAAATTAGCAAGGTATGGATCTAATTTTGAAGTTCCTTGGTTCTTCAGCAAGGTGCATGATGATAATCAAAGTTGCAACATTGAGTGTCATGGCTATAAAAAGAATATAACTAGAAGTTAAAGAGGGTGCAAGTTTAATCACACTAATTGACTTTTGGTCTAATGGTACTCTTTATCTTGTGAAGATTTTGCCTTCTCTCCCCCCACCCCCCTCCCCCCCAAATAAAAAAAAGGTTTAATCTCATAGAAAACTACTTTTCATTTCAATTTGATGGACTTGGGTTTGGAACCACCAATTTCTTTGTATTTTGTGATATCCAAAACTAATTAATCAAAAGTAAGGCACTGATTTGACTATAACTTTCCAAATTCTCAGTTGGTGGGTGGATATCGGCTTGCACAATATGGGTTTTGCAAGAGACAGGCTTGTAGAACACTACTTTTGGAACAACTCAATGATATGTGAACCGCAATATGGACAATATCGATATATGACAACGAAGATAACATGTTTGATAACTGTTATAGATGATATATACGATGTATATGGCTCAGTGGACGAACTAGAGCTTTTCACAGATTTTGTTGACAGGTTTGTATGTAGATTCTGTTACACACTATCCTGACGTTGCAATAAACTAGTACTTCATGTTTTTTTAATTCATTTTATTTTTTTGTCAATCCTTCAGATGGGATATCAATAGAATTGACGCGCTTCCTTGCAATATAAAGCAATGCCTTCTTGCCTTGTACAACACCACCAATGAAATTGGCTATTGGACACTGAAAGAGAAAGGCTTTAACATCATCCCTTACCTAAGAAAGGCGGTAGAATTCATAACCACATTTTTTAATCTTATTTATTTATTTATTTTGCATGGCCACTAGAAAAATATTACATTTCCTATATATGAATTGATTGAATAGAATTCATTTCCTCTATATGATATTTACAGCAAACTATATTTGCATTGCTTTAGTGGACAGATATCTGTAAAGCATACTTGAAGGAAGCAAAGTGGTATCATGGTGGATACAAGCCAACATTGGAGGAGTATTTTGACAATGCAGTAGTTTCCATGGCGACTGCTATCATGGTATTAGGTGGCTATTTCCTAACCACGGACAAAATCACTGAGGAGGCATTGGATTACATAGACAAGCTCCCGAGTATCGTGCGTTGCAGCTGCATGCTTAATCGAATCACCAATGATATGGGAACATCGTCGGTATGTTTAACATAATTCTCTTTAAGTCACAACAATAACAAGAAACTGATAAATTTATGTCTAAATCGGTACTAGTACTAAAAAAATACTTATCTTCAAAAACTTTCTAGTGACCAATATACTTTTATTAAAGTGTAGTTACTGGCATTATTATCTGTTTTCTAACCCAAAAAACACAAACATTCCTTCATTTGTCTTTATATCTATGCAAATATTTATATTTATATTTATTAATTAAATGAAAAATGATAAATAAAAATTAGAAAACTTGTAAATGTCAAGATGTTTGAAAAAAAAAATTAATCATGATATTATTGTGAAGAAATATATTAATGCTCCATTTGGTATAATGGAAAAATGGAAGGATTAATTTTCCTTTCAACTCACCTAAGTCAATCCCTCCAAAATCGGAAGAAAAATAGATGAAAAGTTAATTATTTGTGTTAAAATTTATCTTATTTGTCTATATATCTTTTTATATATANTCATTTGGTATAATGGAAAAATGGAAGGATTAATTTTCCTTTCAACTCACCTAAATCAATCCCTCCAAAATCGGAAGAAAAATAGATGAAAAGTTAATTATTTGTGTTAAAATTTATCTTATTTGTCTATATATCTTTTTATATATACATATATTATGTATATATTAATTTCATATAAAAATACAATAATAAAAAATGTATTTATATATATATTAAAAATAAAAAAAAAACAAATTTTCATCTTAACTAGGGGTAAAAATTTTTGACTCAATATAATGACACGACTCGAACTCGACATAAATTTTATGACACAAACACAAAAATAAATAGGTCAACTCGTAACTCGACACTACACAATTAATTAAATTTTTTTTTTTTNTATATTAAAAATAAAAATAAAACAAATTTTCATCTTAACTAGGGGTGAAAATTTTTGACTCAATATAATGACACGACTCGAACTCGACATAAATTTTATGACACAAACACAAAAATAAATAGGTCAACTCGTAACTCGACACTACACAATTAATTAAATTTTTTTTTTTTTGGGAGTGGGAGAGAGGAAGGGGGTTTGAACCCTTACCCTCAAGAAGACAAAAATCATCACAAAGTAAGAAGTATCATTTTACACAATTAGCTAAATGAGTTGAGTTGGGTGTGATTAATGTTCGACACAAAATCGTAATAACTCAATACGAATCTGACATGACACGACTCAATTGTCACCCTTAATCTTAGTCAGTTTCATCTATCTAACCAAACACAAACGAAAAAAAATGCATCATTCTTATTTTCCTTCTTTGAATGATAGAAAGTTTATCCCTCTTACTTTCTATTTTTCATCATTTCTACCAAACGGAGCNGAAGACAAAAATCATCACAAAGTACGAAGTACCATTTGACACAATTAGCTAAATGAGTTGAGTTGGGTGTGATTAATGATCGACACAAAATCGTAATGACTCAATACGAATCTGACACGACACGACTCAATTGTCACCCTTAATCTTAGTCAGTTCCATCTATCTAACCAAACACAAAGGAAAAAAAAATGTATCATTCTTATTTTCCTTCTTTGAAGGATAGAAAGTTTATCCCTCTTACTTTCTATTTTTCATCATTTCTACCAAACGGAGCATAAGGCAACACTACTATTCTAAATTAAAATGTGGACTACTTTCTATATTTTCCCATTACTAGATCTACCTATTTTATGTAACGTTTGCAATTATATAATATAAGTTTGAAAAATATGAGATATCATTTAACTTAATTACACAAATATATTTTATGTTCTTTTACTTGATTTCATGAGAACTCTATTCCTTAAATTTGTCCACATATAGTGCACGCAATGCATTGTAGTGCTATCCAATTAAACACCTCTTTTTGTAAAAATTAAATTAACACATGNTCTATTCCTTAAATTTGTTCACATATAGTGCACGCAATGCATTGTAGTGCTATCCAATTAAACACCTCTTTTTGTAAAAATTAAATTAACACATGAGATATGTGTAGGATGAGTTGGCCAGAGGAGACACCCTCAAGGCACTACAATGTTATATGAATGAAAATGGTGCATCTGAAGAAGNTTCATGAGAACTCTATTCCTTAAATTTGTCCACATATAGTGCACGCAATGCATTGTAGTGCTATCCAATTAAACACCTCTTTTTGTAAAAATTAAATTAACACATGAGATATGTGTAGGATGAGTTGGCCAGAGGAGACACCCTCAAGGCACTACAATGTTATATGAATGAAAATGGTGNGTAAAAATTAAATTAACACATGAGATATGTGTAGGATGAGTTGGCCAGAGGAGACACCCTCAAGGCACTACAATGTTATATGAATGAAAATGGTGCATCTGAAGAAGTCGCTCGTGAATTCATGAACAATTTAATCAATGAAATATGGAAGACTTTGAACAAGGACATGCACAAAAACTATCCTTTCTCTGAACCATTTTTAAGTGCCTGTGCAAATCATGGTCGGGCAGCTCAGTGCTTTTACCAACAGGGAGATGGGCATGGCGTGCCAGACCGTTGGACAAAGGATTATCTGATTTCATTGCTGGTCCAACCGATTCCTTTAAACTAGTGGTCAATATAGAATATTTGGCTCAAGAATTGAGCATTGGCACCATGTGTAACGAATGTTTTTTGTATGTGTGTGGTTTTGTTTAAGTATTGGTTAGATTTGTTCCATTTCAAAGGTTTTTGAATGCAATAAGAAGACGTTGTCCATCTTCCATGGTGTTGTCAATCCTATGAAATAATTAGTCGTTCCCCATGCACAACACATTCATTTTTTTNGGTGTTGTCAATCCTATGAAATAATTAGTCGTTCCCCATGCACAACACATTCATTTTTTTAATGTATTGGCTCGTATGGGTTGAGTTACTGTGGCTATAATGTTAACATTTAAATGAGTTATTATAGTTAAAACGTTAACAGTTAAAATTTAATAAGTTATCGTGGCTAAAATATTAAATCATAATATAAATCATCCGATCTAAACAATTTGTGTTGTTATTGTGTTTTTTAGCTGAAGGACCTAAACAACTCAAGTAGGAGACTTTGTTTTATTATTATAAATTTACTTTATTTTACTATTATAGATGTTTGTATCATTCTTTTCATTGAATTCTCTGATGCTTTTCAATTTTCTTTCTCCTAACTGATTAAGATCAGGACCAAGTTTACGGAGGGAAATCGTTTTACATATAATTAGGGTACAACCAGTAATAATTTAAGGCTTAAATCATACACATAGAGAGGTTTTGGTTTTCCTTTGGGTTAAAATTCTTGCCCATACACTTCGGACTAAAGATAAATCAAACAGGACATGCTTAACAACTTCAGGATTAGTCGGAGTAGATATTGGTGCAAGGACGATACAACTTCATCATTGATACATATTATCACAAATCAATTATAAACTACCACTAAATTTAGAGTGCGTTTGGGATGACTTATGTAATCTTATAAATACTTTTTCAATAAGTGTTTATTAAAAGTGTTTTATAAGGAAAACATTTTTATTAAATAAGTATTGTTTGGATGTTCAAAATAAAAAGTGCTTAAATTAAAATATTTTATAAAAAGTATGTTTGGGTGTAAAAATATTTTTTTGTGTCACATTTGTTAATAGTATTAAANAAATAAAAAGTGCTTAAATTAAAATATTTTATAAAAAGTATGTTTGGGTGTAAAAATATTTTTTTGTGTCACATTTGTTAATAGTATTAAATGCACATATACAAACATAAATTACACATACATTGATATACAAAAAAAATATCATACATAAAAATATCATGTCATCTAAAGTAGCATCACAAAATACATAGGCTATTAACACAACCTATATAATAATAATTAAACTCAACAACTAAATTGAACAAACCCATATAATATTAGCAAAATTTATTGTTAAATCAAACTATAGGTTCATGTTAAAGCAAAATTGTTTCAAGAAACCAAAAAATAAAAAAATTACATCTACCAATCTATAAACCAAGTCATGGATAAAAAGATATAACGATGCAAATAATTGAGNAATCTATAAACCAAGACATGGATAAAAAGACATAACGATGCAAATAATTGAGTTTCATAGCTGTTAAAAAATAAGGTAGTTACTGTCATTTAAAACTTTCACTTGACAGAGACATCGAACAATTTGGGAGTCTTGTGGATGGGTTGAGCTCATCTCAAGCTTCGATCCATGTCACCATGGCGTCTGAAAGCTTGACAAAGCAAGGGTCTACTTTCCCAAGCTTTTCCTTAACCTACTTGAACAATTTTTTTTTTTAGCAAAACATAAAAATTTTACTTATTCACAAAATAGCAATTACAGGAAGCAAAAAGAAAGGCCAAAGTATCTTTCCATAACAGAAATTAAAACCAAACCAACATAAAAAAACAAAGCAACTCCCATCAGAGTAAAGCAACAGATCCAGAAGCAAAAGCTTTGCAGATTCAGGAGCAAAAGATTCCAACATTCCAGCAAAACATCTTCACAGCTCCCACCTCCTCAAAAAACTTCTAATCTGCCTAATATCTAGACAAGACCAAGAACATTAACAAAGTCCCAAAACAGAGTTCAACGTTAACACACTAGCAGCTGGACACACCCACTGCACCCAAATACACTTAAGTAAAGCCTTATAAGAAAAATCCACTTGCAAAAATTCCAAAAAGGCTTTACCCACAATATCATCCAACACCTTTGGTTTAATATTTCTGACGTGGTACCTTAAAATACTGCAAACTCTTACAAAGATAGAGTAAGAATATTGTTTCCTCTCTCCGGCCAATCTTTGACACCTCTCTTTCCACACTTGCCAATATATAACAAGAGCAAAACTTCTAATCAAACAACAACTCAAAGACTTCTTCTTATATATCCTGCACAATGGCATCTTCAATGTAACACTTTTGAAAAGTAGTGCACTCCTTTAGATGGGCAGATGCTTGGAAGAAGGGGATGATCTTGCCAGAAGATGCCATTGTACTCTTTTTTAAGGTTCGCAAATCGATTGCTAGCTTTGCTGTGTCATATGTAAGGCAGCCCTGTCTTGATTCCGAGTCCCAAATGGTCACTTATCACTTTGAAAAATATACAATCATCTATAAGTTTCTCATTGTGAAAGGACCAAGTAACAATTACACATTATACACATTAGAAAATGAAGAAAATAAGACATGTTAGAGTTGAGATTTCACAAAGTAGATGGTGAGGACTGGCTTTTAAAAATTATTTACAGCAAAAACACAACTCATATCTTGGCTAAGCTTTCTACTTTCAGCAACCCATTATACCAATTAGACCAATGTTATGTACCATGAAGCTAAGTTTTATGGGTTTAGCATGCAATTACCCAAAAAAAGAATGCACGGGGTTGAGAGAAAAAAAATTTAATCCACAAAATGAGACAAAAAAATGAACTACTTGAATCATGGTTTGTTTATTTATTATATTCGGCTTTGAGTAGAANGCACGGGGTTGAGAGAAAAAAAAATTAATCCACAAAATGAGACAAAAAAATGAACTACTTGAATCATGGTTTGTTTATTTATTATATTCGGCTTTGAGTAGAAAAAATGATTAGAGGTTTCACACTCTTCCATCCTCAACTCATATGAATAATTGGTATGTGCAGAGTTTTGGGGTTAATCTTATGGCACCAACGGTTCTTATAGAGTTCATTGCACAGGACAATTTTAGGTGCCTCCATAAATCAAACATCTGGTGGGCAGTGGACAATATCAAATATCTAAATCATTAAGATCACAGATCTAATTTGTAATTAATAAAACATTTTTTCCCAAAATCATTCAATGATCTCCGCAAACTTCATCATAAATGTTAACCTAAAAACTTCAAACAAAATTATAAAAACACACAAGAAATTACTTAAAATGAAGAGGTTGTACCTCTATTACTGTGGATATCAATCAACAATAAGAAAAAGATCAGTGACAGAGGGAGCTACTTTTGGCGTCGTCGGTGATCGGCAAGGTAATTGAAGGCAAAGTGGTCGTTGTCGGTGTTGTTCGTGGATGAAAGCATCTGAATCGGGAGAGGCAGCACGGGTGTGAGCGTGAGGTCTCCCTACCTTGTCGACGATAGCCGGAGATGGAAGAACACCGATGAGAGGTGGGAGACTTCTTCGACAGGGATGATCGTGCCCTGTTAATGCCCTGTCAAATACTTTCTTAATGATCCTAACTTACACCGAACGGTCATACATAACCACCGCAACCAATATGTTAATTGAAGAAGTGCATAACAAAGAGAGATTAGAGATAGGAAAGAGACGGAAAAATATAGGGTAAATTTCATATACATCCCCTGACATTTAGTTTTATTTCGTGGACACTCCTTCACAATTTTGAAATTACACTGAAACTCCAATAATTTAACGACGTTGACTGTATAATCAAAAGACTACTTTATCCTTAATTTAACAAGTCAAATCCATGGCAAGATTTAAACCAGTGACCAATGCTCAAACGCACACTCCATAACCTGTGACTCTATCTACACTAACAACCCTGCCGTTCCCCAAAATCACCTTCCCAACCCCCACCCCAACAAGCACAACAACCTTTCCGTCACCTCCACCTCCACCTCCGAGCTCCTCTCTCTCTCTTGATCTGTTGCAGAAACAGTTGTGAGTGGATGTGGTTGGTGGTGGTTTGGGTGGCAGTTTTCAAGGTGGAAATTTTGATGACTGGTTCGAGGGAGGAGTAGGCGGTATTTAAGTAACTGGCTCTATAGGGGGGAAGAGAGGGAGGTGGATTTTGATGGGTTTGTGTTGTGGTGGTGGTGAGCTTTACTGTGTTGTTGTTGGTTGTTATTGGTGATTGGTGATTGGTGATTGGTGATTGGTGTTACTGTGTTGGTGGCGGTGTTGTAGAGGATAAGGATTATTTACAGTATAAAGTAATTAATTACAAAAATCATAATTAGTATGATATTATTACATAATTAATCTGTTATAATTAAATAATTAGCTTTTAGGTTTTGATAAATGTGATCATTAATCATCAAAATTGTTTAAAATAAAATTACTTTTAGGGAAAATTGTAAAGATGTATATGAAATTAGAGTTATTTGTCAAACAATTCATATGTATAATAAAATACATAGCAACTTGAATTTTTATTCTCTCTATATTTTCTCTCATGAAAACATCACATCACTCATTTCTATTACATGTTTAATTATTTACATATTTTTCCACTAAAAATATCACATCACTCATTTATCATATGTTTAATCATTTAATATTTGATTAATTTGTAATTACTATAATTTTTATTTCAAACATTATTCATATACAATCATGTTGAAAAAATTTAATATAATGAAATTGATTTTTTGGATACTCGAATTTTATGTTTTATCATGATTTTTAGCACGGGTTATGACTAGTAGCTCTTAATGTTAGATTATTAAGTCCTTATTTTTATAACTTAATTTTGTCAAAATACATAATTTGACTTTTTATGATTTTTTTGACATATTTGTCTTCCCTTAAATTATGTATATTTCTTTTGACAATTAATTAGATTTTTTATTTTGTTTTATTGTATTAAGAATTTACTAATATAATGGAAGAATTATTTTACCACAAAGATTTACATATAAAGTTGATTATATATATCTCTGCCATTTTGAATGTTAAATTTTTTTTATCATTATCGTTGCTAGTAAGCATCTCTCTCTTCTTCTTCTCCAAATTATTAGTTATTAACATTCGAAAAAACTCAAACTTATTATTCTCGAACGAATATAGAAAAGCTCGAACATATCATATTTCTTCTTCTACAACATTCATATATTATAAGGTTAAACTTTTGTTTGCTTTCATTTTTTTTTTATTTTATTCATTCCACAGACTTTTAGTTAGTTTCAAAGTTTTTTTTTCTTTACAATCTTCGTATTCGTTTCTACTTATTGGGTTGAGGGGCCACTTTTTTGGTCAACTATTCATCTTTAAAATGATTATTTGTTAATTTCAATATTTTTTAGTTTTATGATTTTTTTTAATAATTTTACTTTTGAATATTGAATACTACAATAATGATTGTTGTTTGAATTCAAAATTGTGCTCTTTTTTTTTTTTTT